GGCTATACCATGCCCAGTTGAGGTGGGAAACAGGCGGCTTAAACGTCAGTTTACACTTGTACTCCTGCTGCGATATTTAGTGCGATTTTCTTCTTCTGATGGATGTGAACGAATAGATGAGTTACGAATGTTCTGAGTATGTGTTCCCTCATGTGAACATTCATAACTCGTCCACTAAGTTTACAATCCATGAGAAGAAGAAAGTCTTACCAAAAATCGTAGTGTAAATTGGTCTTAAAGATTACGGGAACAACAGCTAGGCAAAGAGTGAACGCTTAAAACAGTTAGGACCACTTTCACATAACAAAACAACGCAAAAATATAGAACAAAGTGTAGATTTATTACTGATGTACATATATTAATGCCATTACATATCATAGTGTGTTATTAATAATCTACTAGGGTTGCACCAGTGTTCAATGTTAGAGAGGTTTAGATTTCACTTCCACTACCGCTACCTCTCACTGACTTAGTACGCATCTGATTGGTTAATCGGATATATCAAACGCATCTGATTGGTTAATCGGATATATCAAACGCATCTGATTGGTTAATGGTCCCTTAATGGTGGTGGAAGTCAAATCTGAACCTGTTATCTTTGGGAAAACAGTAGGGGTCGGTTGTTAAACACGATTAGCGATAATCCTAGGTTAGAAAAAACTTCAAATTTAACCCGCCGTATTGGTTTGCGCATTTCTATTGTATAGCTTTAGGCCTGTTTTATACGTCGAATTTTGGTCGCGACAAATGCAATTAAGATAATACTCAATAGATAATGAGATGATAAACCTCATTAAACTTCATTATCTATTGTTTGAATTGCATCCGACGTGACCGAAATTCGACGTATAAAACAGGCCAAAGTGAATAGGAGTAAAACTTTCATTGATTGAGACCCGATTTTTTAAAAAGTATTTCTAAGTTTGTAAACAACTGTTGGGAGACTTGCTTTCATGTTCTACACTGACCTAGGATTCCGCTAATCGACTTTCAAACAACTTGTCCCGGACTGGTATAGTGGATACACGTGTTAAAATATATACATACTGTGTACAGTCAAACTGTAAAATAATTACAATGTAATTTATACACCAAGTTATTTAAAAAATGTAAAATTTGTATATACAAAGGAATTGTAGTAAACAGTTTGAATACATGCATTTTCTTGCTAATAATTTTTTATCAAGTTTGTCATCAAATCAGTAAGCTGTCTGCTGAAATGCTCAGTAGTACTTCTCGCAGCTTGTTAGTCACTGTATCATGTGTGGAATTCCATTGTTCGTTAATGGTCGTGGCTAAAGGGGATGGACTAGAGGCAGGTTTTCAAGATGGCCGCCAGTTTTTAAGATCATTAAAACGTAAAAGAATCGTCAACCAGCCACTTGCAACAATACTAAACCTTACCCCACACCTAACCCTAACACACACACACACTAACACTATAACGCAAACTCTTATTTCAATTTTGAACCATCTCGTATCTCTCGTCCTGTCGTCTATTGCTTTTAGACATTACCGTTCGGTTAATAGCTATAGCCTATAGGTTTTACAAAACACTATCTCAGGCAGCAGATGGTCTGTCTACCTAGTAAAATGAATCAATAACGCTACCTCTAACCAAAATTTGAAGCCAAACTTGAAGGCCAGTCCAAGTCTTTTCACGCGTGCAAAGAGCATGGTCCGTCACATGAATGCAATAAAAAGCTTTTTAACAGCGCTGAAAACTTTCTATATTAATGCATTTATTCAGTTTAAACTTCCCTCGAAGTATAAACACCGAGGTCTTAATTTGTCTTCAAGAAAAAGATAGGCAGTTTATCTGAAGCTAGGTTCCAGTAATATTCATTTCACAAGGTCAACGCCGTCAACCAGATAATGCAACCCACATGCTAATAGTCTTCATCTGGATTTAGTACAGACAAATGCGCAAACTTATTCCCTTTCAAGACCTCGGGAATTTTACTCTTTGTCTCCTTCCCTTCCCTTTGTCTCCTTCCCTTTGTCCTGCCTCCTTTATTCCGTCGTTTCTCGCTGCTTCGTGATTGGTTGAACTGGCGGTCATGTGGTAAGTCTTTAGTAATTACGTCATAAAGGTGATGATATAAGTTCGTGTTGGTCACAATAGATTCAGCATACTTGATACCTAAAAATTGTCAGGAGGTATAATTTACAAATACTTTGTGTTAATATAAGGAAAATACCTGCTAATTAAACACATGTTGTTACACTAAACCAACTAATTTTCACTGGTAGCTAGCTATCAGACAGTTCTAAACTGTTCTCCCTAGAAGTAAAGTAGAGGTAATCTGGAAACCTAAACTAACCTTTATATTTATACTGGACAGCTCTATAAATTCTGAAACCTAAACTAAGCTAACTTTATTTTTACTGAGTAGCTCTATAAGTTCTGCACTTTTCTCCCTAGAAGTTCAGTCAGTACTTTCTCTTATTGATTCAGTGTTACTACAAGATAAAACCTAAACTAAACTAACTTTACTGATTTATATTGGATAGTAGCTCTATCAGACAGTTTTAAACTTTTTTTTCTGAGGTCAAGTAGAGGCAATCTGGCAACTTGAACTAAACGTAACTAACATTATTTACTATATATTGGATAGCTTTATCAGTTCTAAACTTCTCTTCTCAGAGGTCAAGTAGAGGTTATCTGGAAACCCTAAACTAACCTTATTTATAGTGGATAGCTCTAGCTTATTTATAGTGGATAGTTCTAAACTTGATAGGTCTATCAGTTCTACGCTGAAAAGTTTGCTTGACCTAGATGTTCTGTAAGTCATGGTTAACGGTTCACTGCCAGAGGGCTATCCCCCCATAACTGGTCCAAAAGTAAACGAAGAAACCTAAATTATTTTCACTGGGCAGGTCCCACTATTAATTCTAGAAAAAAAGTGCGCTCTTTGACTGCAACAAACTGAAAATACTCTTTTTACAAGGAATTAACTAAGGCGATCATTGATCATATTATGCAGCAATACTAACCTTTAACTCGTTCGAGTCTTTCATACACCAAACACACATGAACACCATCATACAACTTGGCCACTTGCAGTTGTGGAAATGGGGAAGAAAACAACGTGTTCAACCGTTCTACCCAGTACAGAACATTTTGCCATTGTGAGAAACCATGAACTGCCTCTAAGGAAATTTTGAAATGCTCCCTTTTAGACGAATCACCAATATAATACACTAATAATGCAGCTAGGTGCGTTGGTTTGATTTGGGAGTGAATAACCCAATATCTCAATGCCGACACCACAATCTGGTGTTCGATTGGGAGATCATGAATAAATGGTAGGTCGGAATCGAGCAAGTTTAGAAGGTGACTCTTTTTTGCGTGATCAGACATTTCCAGTATACCATCACGAATTTGAATCCTGATCTCTGAGACTACGCGTGTTAGATCCACCTCCTTCTTAACAAGACTCGACCCTTCCCTAACATATTCAGTTATAACGATATCTTTGGTGGTGGCTTGGGGTGTACTATCACTTTTGCCAAACTTCACATCTTCGATGGTATAGTCGCAGCTTGATAGTAGTCCAATTTCCTCACTTTTCACTGTATTTTCATTGAGATTGTCAAACTCTGATTCTAGTATGCTATGGATGTGGTCAGAATCTTTGATTTGTTTGATATGGCTAGTTGATGATGTTGTATCGTAATGGGTGGTTTCTCTCTCTTCCTGGGACTCTGATTGGCCAGTCACCATGTTCGGTATACTATCTTTACTTTGTTCCTGCAGTAATTCTGGTAATGATGACAGAACACAAAACTCAGTTTCCTTCTGTGCCCCAGGTGGTGGCCTGTTTGTATGGGTGTGGTCATTGTCCATCTCCTGTTCAGTTTGAACAGTAATCATACTTGGTATACCAGCTTTGACCAATTGGGTCTGTAACTCTATTCCTGGAACTGCTAATGCTAATGGTGATGATGATGTATCATTAAAACCCTTAGTATCCATACGTGCCTGGGACTCTGGTGTAAACCCTTGCGTAAGGGTGTGGTCAAAATCTCTCCCCAGTTCAAGTTGACCATCAGTTACCATGCTTGCTACACCAGCCTTGTTTTTTGAATGTAACTCTGTTGCTGATACCACTGTATTGGTGGTACCTTCACAGTTCAAAGCCAGCGCGTAATAGTACCATCTAAGGCCTTGAGCACAAATCTGTGCAGACGGCAATGCTATATTTTCGCTTTGTGTTTGGAGAAAAATATTTCTATTACACAAACAAGCTAAACCCTCAAAGGCCATCAAACCTTGTCGATAAAGTTTAACAACCCATTGCGGCAGCGAATGACCATTATATGTATGCACATTACAACTGAGGTCACTAGAACCAAAATAGCCAATTAAATTGCTTTGTTCCATTTGGTATTCTTCAATGGATTTCTCAAATAACACCTTATCGTCGTCTGAAAACAAGTGTATCACGGCATGAATTGCTTCCGAAACTGACTTATGCCTGGACAAAAACTGTGCAATAGTTGGAACCTTTTCGCTACCAGCTTCTAGCTCTGATGAGGTTACAAGACTTTCAATATAATCAGTGAATGGCTTTAACATTTCATCAGAGATGTAGTCATTTCCAACCAGTGAGGCAAGTAGTGGTGACATGCTAGGGTCGATACCAAGATGTTCAGTAAACCCATCGAAACTGAATTTTCTAACTGTGGTGTTTGGACCAGAGAAGTTGTGCTGTTTTAATGGAATGTAGCCACGTCTGATGTTGAATATGTAAAAATCACTGTCGTCGGCCAACACTAGAGCATCCAGTTCATTTGCTAACAATGCAATTTCACAGTCCGCTTCACTGAAAATAAAATATTATAAATGGAAAGGAGTGAGGAAAACAATAAGATATGCTCAAATTAAATTACTTTTTTATAGTATAACATGCCTATACCCTATGAGCATATACCCATGCGGTTTTGTTCACATTGTATGCACTCAATGCACTCATAGGCGATCGGGGCCGATGTTTTCCGGGGAGGGGTAAATAAATAACCGGAATTTAACATGTTTTCTGATAAACCCATTGATTTTTCCTTAGCGTTTACCTGAATTTCAATGGTTTTCTAAAGTGGGGGGGGGGGGCAGTTGCCCCCTGTCTCATACGCCTTTGAATGCACTACCTTATATAGTTTGACCTGTGGTAGACAGGTATTTAAGAAACCAGGACTTTACGGAAAAGGTGTAGTGCGTTGGAAACTTAAATTCGCACCCCCCTTAAGTTTACAAGTGTCCGGCACAGAGTTTTTTAATGCTTACAAATCTGCCACAGCGTACAGCACTTCCATTTCTTGCAAAACTTCCACAACAGCCAACTGTGTGAGACGTGGAAGCACCACATGTGTAGATTTTTCTGACGTCCACAAGTTGTTCATCTTCTGAATGCGCTCTGTGTTTCTCTTCTTGTGCGTGGCAAGCTTTTTCTCATCTCTAGTCATAATACCATCAAAGACAACATATGACACAACATTGTTCGACTGCAGCTCTGAGAAAAATGTTTTTAGTTTGTTTTGCAGTTGGTCATATTGCCCACCAAACTTAACGTTTAGTCCATCACAAATGTGATAACATAAACCGCGGCCATCAATGACGAGGTTTGTGTCGCGCAAGTTGTACGATTCCCAAACTTGTCCTTCATCAAATAGCAAATTTTTCACATACGTTGTCAGACCACGAATTCCCATTTGAGATTCCTGAAAAATGGTATTTCACCCATTGAGTTGCATTGCACCCTAATGCACCTTACTTTATTATTTTACTCTGTCTGATGCCAGACAATTTCTCTTGTCAAGGGGAGATCGAGCGCTGACGGTTAATCAGATTTAATTGGTGCTTGATGGGTTAATCAGACTATCTGCCTATATGTGTCTAGTTAACCCATTAAGTTGAATTGCACCCAAATGCACCCTACTTTATTATTTCACTTCTGACTCTGATTTTACTCATCAAAGGGAGAGTGCGGCCACTCAGTGGTTATTACCCTCTTTTATTAATAAATTTTATGTCATTTTACGTCAAGGCGAGGGGTCGTGCACATGAATAGAGACCTTACGATTTTAGGACGGCAACGCGACGGCAACGGCTACCAATACAATAGATCATTGAAAAGAACTGAGTAATTACAATAAATGAATAATTTAGACATTGTCCTCGCTCTGTTTACAACGCCAAATCACATATTTTCACGTGTTGATACAACGGCTGCATTCCAAGCCACAACAAGTGCAACTTCAAACCAGGTTTAGCAGAACTCTTCCCAACCATAAAACCCATGTCTTCAACTTCTAAGACTGTATTAAATTCATACGATTGATAATATACGACGAACTATCGACTACCATTTATTTGAAGGAGTTTGTTTTGGCCGTTGCCGTCGCGGTTGCCGTCCTAAAGTCGTAAGATCTCTAATGAGTTAACCAATTAGCCTTTCTCGCGCCGCCATTTTTGGGGTACTGTAATTTTTCATTAACGGTTATAACAATGTGAAAAGCAATATTTCAGAACAAGCTAACTATTTACAGAGTAAATTTACAATCATACACCCACAAAATTATAAAATGTCGCCGTTATATGGTGTTACGCTCGCATGATTGGCAAAAAAGTACCCCAAAAATGGCGGCGTGAGAAAGTCTAACTAAGTTCAAATGTACTCGACTCTCTAGCGTACTACTGGGGTAGTGGATGCGGTAAGGGGCGAGGTGGCTTTATTACCAAAACTGTGTATGCATCCTCTCATCCGAAAAAAGTGTCACATTTTTGCGTCAAAACATTCAGGAATAAGACCATATTCCTAATGTCATAAAATCAACATCTTGGGAATGGCGTCTGCATGATTGGTCTGCGCAAGACATGCTGAGATTCGCTGAATAGTTGTAACATTTCAGCATTAAAGACATATAGGAAGGAATGTAGTCGCATTCCAGAATGTTTTGTCACGAAAACATGGCACGTTAATCGCACTTTACTTACTTCCCACCCAAAGACCCTAGGGGAAGGAAATTGTGTCAAATAAGCAAAGTGGGGTGCATAATGCTGATGCATAATGTTAAGGTGGTTCAACCAATGCCAAACCAATCAAGGTTTACAGTATAAATGCATTAATTGCATGGTGAATATAATATCCAGATGATCTTGATACGCGGAAAAGTACTGGCACTAGTTGTCAAATAGAAATCCATTTTATGATTAAAACAACCGAATATCTCCTGTAATATACTTTATTTCGATTCCATATTTTTGTCAGAGCTATAGTTCTCATAACCAAACATAATTACAAAATTTCAACTAGTTTCATAAAGAATAATGAAAGATATAATTGACTGAATACATCAAAATGGATTTCTATTCGGACAACCCTTTCTGAGCGCTGATTGGCTAAAATACGAACACGAGATCACCTGGACTGCATAAAGTGCTCAACTCACCGTCTCGTAAACAGCCTAGACGATACAAAGTCGGCATTTTTATAATGAAAGCGAAGAGATCATCAATGAATGTGTTGAGTGCTTTATAAGTGAGCATTCTCCAGGGTAAGTGAGCAACAG